AACCCTTTTTTTTTTTTTTTTTTTTTTTCCAACTTGAAATTAAAACCTGCAAGCAATTTTATCAAAAGGATAGGATGAGACTATTCTCTCAGGTTGGGAAGCGTAAGCGTTAATGGTATAATGCAAACTCCTATTTGTATGCTTACGTTAGTAAAAGACTTTGCAGAAGATAAACTCAGTTACTCCTTCTGAAATGTTGAGCTAGTTCAACTATAATATTGAAAGCGTTGTCATAGCTTTTTCTTAAATCATTCTTTCTCCTTTTTGTTTTTGAAGGTTCTGTACTAGTATTGTTGCTCAGGATGACAAAGGAAACATTTACCACGGTCGGAACCTGGATTACGATTTTGTTGATATATTAAGCAAGATTACAATTGATGTGCGGTTTATAAAAAGTGGGCAGGTATGATCCGTGGTTGACATGGCTGGGTGGTGTTCCGTGAAGGAACAAGGTATGGTCCTACAGCTGCGTAGGCAGTGGGATTTAGTGTAGGAATGTGGTTCCCATCCCACGTTTACTGGATTATTAGAGCACCACAGTCACTCCCTCTAGGAATGCGGGATGAATGCTGGTTTTCTTTGCTTTCCGGACATCCAGTTTGTGGTGATAAACTGGAACAAATAGAACAGCATAATCTGGCATCTCAAGATCATTATTTGGAAGGAGATGTTGAAAGAAGGAAACGTCAAGATATTAAAAAATACTAGAGAATATAGAAAAGAGATCAGTTTTGGCAGGGACCAATTCTAAGGCTTTTTTCTAAGGCCTTGTTAATTTTTCTGACCAACATGTGTGTTTTAGATGAAAATTTCCAAAAATGAACTAGTTGCTAGTGCAGTCCTCGTCAGTGTGATTTTCTTAATATTCATTAATATTCATGGGTCCATTTTGACAATGGAGGATTCTTTGTTTCTTGCTTGGGTACTCGCGAACTTGAGCAAAACTTTTGTAGCGGTCTGTGATCACTAACAAATTAAATGCAGTGAATTTTGGTCCTCGGGAGTCTTTTTATAATTTACTTTGCAAGTTTTACTGTAATTTCAGGCAAAGTGTTTTATAGCAACGTATGTATGAAAGTCACAGGAAAAAGTGCGGGATGCTGCTTCAGAATGTTGCCGATATTGTAGGTAGTGTTCTGTTCCAGAATGCTAAAATACTGCATGTTTCCTGATTTCAGATCGCATATCAAGGCACCACATTTCTTGGTTACGTAGGCTTATGGACTGGACAAAGTCCACACAAGTTCACGATCTCTGGTGATGAACGAGGTAAAATAAATCTGTCTTCCACACTTGATGTTATGTACGCTATTTCAGTTGATTGCTGCCTGCTCTGGCCCTTCTCTCACATTCTCCCAGAGGGAAAAATACGATTAAGGTTGCCAGGAAGGAGCTGAAATTGAATGACTTCTCTGGCCCCCAGGGGGTGAAAGCACATAGGCTGCCAGTTTTTGGCTGCTGCACAGGAGAAAGGCCTTTTTTTGTCAGCACAGTGTCATCTGAGCTTGAAAAGTGTCAAAGGAGACAGAGAACGTTGGGGAAAGCCTTAAGAGATGAATTAATATGGTCTGTTCAAGACACATGACTGGAGATGGCAGAGAAGGGGTTGAGAGAAAAAGATGCAATTGTGTATAGCAAATTAACGGCTGCTTTCCTAGTTCTCTGTCCCTTCCTCTGTATTCCATGTTTCTCTGTTCCCATAAGGCAGCTTGAAAGAGCGGATGGGAAGAGAAGCGTAAGACAGAGAGATCTAGGGCAAAGGCAGCAGGGCTTGAGAGAATGCGTGGAGATACTGGAAAGCGGGCTGAGGAAAGATCTGGTGGTAGAGGAAAGTTGAGATGTCACTACTGAGAACTAAAACTTGACAATAGAAGGACTTGTAACAGTCTGGAAGGCAGGGGAAGGATCACTGCCTTTTCCATCAGCGCTTCAGTTTCACAGATATTGATAGTTACGTCCAACTCAGAGCTTGAGTTTGCCTCTTCGATCCCTTCCCCCCTCTTTTTTCTTTTTTTTTCTTTTTTCTTTTCTTTTTAAGAAGCAGACGCTTTTTGCTGTTCTTTATTAGCTGTTTGTTAGAACTGGAAACAATATAGTCCGAGTTGGAACCAACATCTAAAATAAATGTTTATTTTTCATTTGTGATTGTGGTAAGTTATTTTTCTTTTCTTTTTAATCTTTTCTTTTAATTAGACAATCTTTTGTTTTTGAAAAAATTTTTTAGATGTTACGCAAACACTGTCGACTGTATACGTTATATACATGTTCATTATGAGAAGGGAGTCTGCTATGGAGCACGTGCACCTTTTGATTCCTGTCTCCTTTGTTAATACTGCCTTGTTGCATTCACTAGATTCTTTCCATAGTTTACACTCATAGTTTTTTAAGAGCCTGCTTCTGATGCTAGTGTAGTTATTTAATCCTTTCAAAACTGGAGCGTCCTGGGCTGATGCTGAAAGATGCAAGCTGCTTTTAGTTCGTACTAACATCAGCTTGCAAATAAAGTCTTAAGCGTATCGAGTCTTTGCAAAAGGCTTGATTTAGAAAATCTTGCAGACCAAAGTCCTGTCTGTGAACAGGCACGATTTGGGGACAAAACCAGTGCCGTCCTGTTCTCCCTGCTGTTTCTCAGCAGTGTGCTTCAACCCTCAATATAAGGACCATGTGAGACAACAGTGAGGTGGTTTAGTCCCTGCGCAAACCCATTCTGTCCTCCCGATTCTGATGGAGGAATCAAGTACCGCAAACCTGTGTGTGTGATGGGCCCCTCTGGTCGGTCAGGAGCCGATGTGCTGGTCATCCACCTGTGTGCCTCGACTTCAGTCACTTTTCAACTACAGACAATAGTAATTCACTCAACACGTGCTGTGCTCCTGTAAATCGGTTGTTGCTGACTGCTTGCTGCTTCATCTGTCACTGTACAATGGAACTAAAAATTTAGGGAAACCAGCATGTGAACTATAGCTGGAAAGGGGGATGACTTCAAATTAGGGTGAAGGTCTATCAAGTGACAAGCATATTGTTTCTGCTGGCTTTTTCTGGTTTTGGCATGTGAATAATTATAAACTTGACCTTCTGTTTTTCTTAGTTCTCCTAATTTTCTCCAGTTACACAGAAATACCATCACTACCTCTTTTTTAGCTGTTTCATGATTCCTGTTTAATTCTTCCTGTTGTTGTAATATTTCAGTAAGATGAATAATGAGGTGATTAATGCTAATGTTTGAGCTGACAAATGTAGACTATTATATCATATGAATAGACCTGCAGTCCTTTTGGAAATACGTGTTACAAAGTGCTAGTCCCTGTTACGGTCACCTTTGACGCTTCATTGCGCATCATTCAGCAATGAATAAAAAAGGTTTAAAACCTGAGCAGCCAGCAAGTTATCAATACTGAAAGGAATGTAACAGTTTTTGATTGAAATTGCTAGCACTGGCAAGTTCTGAGAGATACTGTGTATTCTCTGTGCAGTGCTGAACACTGTCTTCTTTGTTGTCCACTGAACTCCAGACTCCGTACCCTTTTTATGGCATCCTCTTACGGCACCGGTCACAGGAATAGTGTACCTCAGAAGACACCAAAAACCTAAGATAATGATCAGTCCTGTCATTACAGGTCTGAGATGCTTTCTGGAAAGCAGGGGTGTTAATCCAGCTGCCCTGGTTGAACTTCAGTTGGGATTATGTAGTCTATTTATATTTCACCTGTAGTTTCAGCTAGATGTTATGCTCTTTGTTAGCCCCTCTCCTGAAACATTGACCTTTTATGCTGATACGTAGCTGCCCTGTTTCACGGAGGATTTAGCTTTCTGTGGTACTGCAATATCCAAATCTAATGACACAGAAAACTGAGCCTTTGAAAGACAAATGTTGTAAAATGAGGGCTTGCCAGGATATGTTAGCCTGGTTATGCAGCACATCCTGCATATTTTATATATAGGTATCAGTAAAGTAATACAAAAGAAAAGGAGCGCTGTCAGCATCCAGTGTTTTAAACAGCGTTGATAAGCTCTAGATGGTACAGAGGCTCTGATTACTTTGAGATGGTGTGTGCTTTGTCAGTTCGGTGTAAGCTGCCTGACTTTGATGTTTTTATGATAGTGGTATAGTTAGAGAATGAAAGAATTTATTGCGCCAATCTTTTGTAATGCAGTAGAGGGAAGGATTGCAGAGCTAGAGATGGGACATGGAGAAGAAAGAAAGGTGGGAGGATAGATCTCACAGAGTGTACGTAACCTGCATGTATAGTAATTTTTCTTTTTTTTCCAGCGGGTGGTCGCTGGTGGGAAAATGCAATAGCTGCTTTTCTGAATCGGAATTACCCCGTCAGCTGGCTTGTCCGAGACGTAAGTGCGCTGCGTTATTTTCTCATGTTTCACAGTGATGTCATTTGTACTTACAAACTCCTGGTAAATTTGATGTTCCAACTTTTAGTTTCACAGAAAATTCAATAAATTGTTAAGTAAATGCATTTCATAAGAGGGCATAGGTATTGTCCCCAAACCGTCAGTGATGTATATGAGAGAGGCAATTCCAGTCCTTCAGGGGGGCAATCTCTAATCAATGCCCAAAGTCTTTGAGAAGCTGTTTGATACGTTAACATACTAAAAATGCAGAGCTCACTGGTGAGCAGCCAGAGTTGAGACTGGTATTTTGTATAGCACATTTTATGAATATTGTGTTAGGGTACTACTAAGATAAAACAGGTCAGCTGCTTCTCAGATTCGTGAATTACGGTAAACATGAATGATACGGTTTGTAGGTAAACTCCCTGCATAACTGGAATGTCTACTGGAGACTTTATTGTTCATACTTTTTGAGTTTGAGATGTGACTTGAGGCTGTGACTCGAAACTACTAGCTGCAGTGTTGCTGTCAGAAATAATTAATTGTTCTCCAGGGCTTTCCCCATCTTTCTGAACAGTTTCGTTAGGTGCATGTTCTCCATATTTGTTTTTAGTTCCTGCACAACACTCATTTTTAAAGATGTCCTTCAGTAGGTTGTGGCCCTATGCCTGAAAATAGTAGCTTCATTGGCTGCGGTGGAACTGTCAGTTTATGCTGAGTTAGTCACCTGGTTATGGCAGGAGAAGCCAGGCTTGCTGTAAGCAATGCCTCTGCCTTATTCACCGTTGTTACCTAAGTCCTCACACACCACTGGCAAGACAAAGACGTGGAGTGGGGTTTTTTCCCCCTTTCATCCACTTTCATCTATCCCATCGTTCACACTGAAAGACTTTGCTGAGGAGTGAATTTGCAGAGTGTGGACATGCCTCTGTCTTTTGAATGGCAGATTTTTCAGCTTTTTTCACTTCTCACCATATACCTATGTGTACATATATGTGTGTATATATTTACTGTTTTCTTGGAGTATTTGCAAATCTGGGATTAATGAGTTCATTTACTAGTCATATGCATTTCATGTTCCTATGCTAGTCCGTTTGGAAAACTATTTTCAGAGAAATATTTTCGAGTAGCACTTTACAGTCAATTGCCATTTTAAAAAAGCTGGGCCTTTTCTTCTTTTTAAGATGTCCCAGTGCTCGTTTTTGTGCTTGACCGTGCTCTGTGATCTTTATTTCACTGTGGTCTCCTTTTTGCATTAGACCCTGAGCAGAGCAGAGGACTTTCAGTCAGCTGTTCTCAGACTAGCGGGCATTCCCATCATTGCTGAAGTTTACTATATTGTAGGAGGCGTATCGCCCAAAGAAGGCATGGTCATAACGAGGAATCGAAGAGGGCCAGCAGATCTCTGGCCTCTCGATCCTTTAGGTGGAGCGTAAGTAGAAAAAAATGGTTTATTCTCTTTTTTCCTATTCCCTCCTGAGTGATAGGCAGGGTTAGTGACAGAACGTTCTTGAGAGAGCCAGGCTCATCTCTTACTAATGCTTACAGCTGGACAGGGAGAGCTTGAAAGCCTCTGAAAGGAACCCCAGTCCCTTCTCTTTGAGAAGGAGTCACACCATCTTGTCAGGCTGGGGCAGTCCAGAAAGTCAAGGGTGGAAAAAGCATCTGTACGTGTTTATTTTTTAGCCAGATTCCAAAGGAGACAAGACTTGAGGGCTTTTCCTGTCTGTCTGCCAAGTATTGCACCAGCAAATTCAGCCCTTCCAAATTAGTTTTGACCCAATGTGGTAGAAAGGTTGAAGGCTCAAAAATAACTGTTCCTATCAATCTTGTGAAATCAGCAGCTTAATATATGAAGGAGATCCTAAATAGTTGTTGTGCGGTGAAAAACGGCACTTAATGACTACAGTCAGCCAGTAAATACTGGCTTGGCAACAGCCAGATGGCCTGTTGGTTCCGTGTACTCCAAACTGAATGCTGCGGGCTGCATCGTACGCATACCCCCGTGTCTCTGATCGTCTCTTTAAAGGTCTGATCTTGCTTTTATTGTAGTCAGTAGTAGTTTTGTCACTGACGCCAGCAGGAGCTCAGAGGTCGCTCCTTTTTCATTTGTGTTCAGTAGTTTATGGTAAAGGCTGCCATGTGTCTCAACGTAGGATCCCTTGGGCTTGCAAGAGACAAAGGAAAGAGGCTTTTGAGGGAGGGTTTTTTTTTCCTTTTGACAATACAGAGATACTGATTCTTGGCTTTTATTAATTACCGGCTGATTTGCCTTTTGTTTGCTTTTATGTTTGTGTGTTGTGTTACAGGTGGTTTCGTGTGGAGACAAACTATGACCATTGGACTACCCCTCCTCCTTTTGACGATCGAAGGTAAATTTAGTTTGGAGCTCTGTGGTGAGATAACACTTTTATTTTGACAAAGCTTAGAGACTTGGGTGTCTTCTCTGAGCAGGTGTTAACTCATTGAGCGGGCAGCTTGTTCAGTTTCTGTAATGCCACTCAAAAGGGAACAGATACGGTAAGGAGCGATATTCTCATGTGCCAGAAGAAAAGTCTGTGTGGCATTGAATGGCATAAAACGTGCGAAATTGCAAGGATAAGGCACGTACCAAAAAGTTCTTTATGAAGCAAAGTTTAGTAGAAGTTAAAGGATTTAGATTCACAGTGAAAAAGTATTTGATGGCACTAGGAAGGCGCTGGCAGACATCATACAGTCTCTAGGCTGTGTAGTATGCAAAAAGCTGTTGGCAGATTCCCTGTTGGTCTGTACTCAGTGGTGTAGTAATAGAGTAGCTTCAGCAATGTGAGACTAGATTCACTCACACAGAACTCTGGATTATTTTAGGCCAAAGCAAGCATTTCAATGTAAAGGCATTTAGTGAGAAATTTTTCACACTGGTGCTTTGTAGCCTTTGGAACACTAAAGCGTATTTAATGATACTGCATTTTTTTCCTGCAGAACTCCAGCCATCAAAGCTCTCAATGCTACTGGACAGCAGAACATCAATTTTGATACGCTCTTTAAGGTATTTCTTTTAAATTCTGCATTGTGACTTTGACTTAAAATTCTTTTTCAAAGCGGAAGTGCAGGTGCATTTTTGTCAGGGATTTAAAGCCTGTGCAAGGAAGGCATGGTGAAGAAGGTGTACTGCACAACCATGTCTGGAGAGTTTAAGACCGATAAGTTTGGTTGTTAAAATGTTTCTCAACTCCCTTGCATAGGCATTTCGTAATAGTCTGCCAATCCAAGTGGAAAGTGCGAGAGGTGAATCCCATCCCATCATCTTTGTGCAGTTCCTTATTTCACGCAGAATTATAAATATAATAGCAGGCAGATGAAGTGTTAGACATGAGTGATATTTACCAGTTAGTTTTGGGAACTTCAATGTTGCATTTTTCAGAGGGCTTTTTAAAAATATTTTTGTAAAATGGTCTGATGTTAAAAAAAAAAAAAACAAACCAGCAAGAGAAATCCTTGACTTTGCATTATTCCTTTGCATAACTTCATCCTTCTGCTGTTTCTAAATAGCCTTTTAATTCCCTCTTCATTTACCAAAATGACAACTCTTCAAACTTTCTGTACAGGTGTTGTCAGTGAAGCCAGTCTTAAACAAGTAAGTATTAGATTCAAAGATGTTAATCAGTGCCTCCTGCCATGCCTCAGGCCACTTAAAAGTCAATCACAAACTTCCTTAGGATTTTCCTATGCGTCTGTCTGAACTTCTTGCCGTTTCCCAGCTTAGATTTCTGCTCGTGCTCGTGACACTCTGTTTACACTTCCACAGCACTCTTCCTCTTCCATCTGCCACTCTAGCCAAGAAACTGCCGTTTGTTAGCCTCAGACTGGTGATGGGAAGTTCCTTTGTAGTAGTGAAACAAATGACTGCTTAGAGGAACAGCTGGACTTTCTGCCGAGTCATTTGTGCTTTTCGCTTTTGGAACCTTTGATTTGTGTTAACACTGCAAATGGCTTTCTCTGGAGTTTCTGATGTAGCTCTGCTTGATGTGTAAAAAGGAAAAAAGCCAGTAAATGGGGACATAGCTTTTAGGTACCATTCACTGGATTTTTAAGAGAGCTTTATTTCAGTATACCATTATTGTTCTGCATTGTTCCACAAACTGCACCTTTGCAGGTTATCCTGTTTTGTTTTACTTTTATATGGAGCTCAGTATATTCTCTGGATCAGTCATTCGTGTTTGAGCTTGGCAATGGCTTCTTCAAAGTTAATACCAGGACTTCCTCTCCTCCGTCTTATACATGTGAGGAAATTTGGAAAGGAGAAGATTATTTCTGCGTGACTGCTGAGATTAGCAATACTGATTTTTTAATACAGTGATCAAATGGATGTTGAAATACAGTTCCTTTGCTGTACTAAGTGGGGAAAAAAATACTAAAAATTTGTGCCAGCAGCCTTAATTTTTATCAGTCTCTTTCTGACTTTTTCTAACCCTTCTGTACCTAAGCAGAGCGTTTGTTTCCGCTAAGATTTGTTCTGCTGCTTTGCTAGTTGTATAAACTAATCTTCCTGCCTTTGGA